TTGAGATCAATCTGTGTCGATGTCTCTTTGCTGGTCATGTTGGCGGTGACCCTCGGAAATTCTCCGTCTTTAACCGCCGTTCTTCTTTGTCGGAAACGCCTATGCCTTGGTTTTGGCGTTACGGTACTAAGCCTTTCGAACACTAAAATTCTTTCGGGGACTGCCTTGATGCAGTTGCACTCAGACAGTACCGCCCGAATGAGCTTTGAACAAGGGCACTGAGTTTCTAGCCTTCGAGGACTTCTCTTTCTGGCTTTGCTCGTACCCCCAGCACGATAGTACAGCTCGTCTGTTTGAAAGTCGGAGCAACCTATCGTGTGTTGGCATGATTTCTCAGGTATAACGCAATCATCATCAGACGATAACGTTTCCTTCTGAGAGCGAATCACCTTCTTCGGACTTTCGAGAGTCACGCGCCTCGAAACGCGCCTTTGTGGGCGTGAATTCTCAACGGGCTCCTGAACTTCGATGCGCAAAGTAGTGCGCTTGGGTGCCATGATTTCTTTGTCATGTTGAGAGTTGTGGCGACCCCCATCATGTTGATTCGTTCGGGGTTTTCTTAGTGGACCCAAACGTCTTTGGATTGGAGCTTTGCTTTGCTCCTCGGGAAGTGGACCGAGGCGCTCCAAGACTGACTTCCTTTTCTGGGATGGTCCTGCGGGATCTCCCGGAGCAGTTGTGGAAATCATCGGTAGTCTGGATTGATTCACCGGAGGTTGAACTTTCGACGGCTGTAGTTGACGCTCTTTGGTCTGAACCGCCGCTTCAGACTTCGGCCTCCAAACTTTGCGAGTTGGTGGCGGCTTCTTGGCTACCTCTTTCTGCAGCTTTCTACGGGCTTCTTCAGCTTGAGCCCGTGCCTGCGCTGATAGTGCGCGGCGTTTGCGGATGCGTTCTTCCAGCGTCGAACGATTCCGTTTGACACGGACCCATTCCATTGTTGGCGGCTTTGGGGAACCACCATTCATTGATCGTTGAGGCTGCTTGCCTCTCTTGTTCTTCAGATCCGCATTGTAACGGATCCCGTCAACTGACTCCATGGCCTTTGCGAATCGTTTCGCAAGGCGTTGACGTTGCCTTTGGCGGGCTCTCTTCGCGAGAGTCACCACGCCCTCTGCGGCAGAAGGGTTGGCCAGAGCAGCTCCGACCTGGTTGGGAATTGGAGGAATCTCACCCGATGCGGCTTTGGCATCCAGCGGGGTGAGATCTTCGTTGGTGTTTTCAACGTCTTCAAACCAACGAGTTTTCTCCAGGAGGAGAACTTTTTGGACTTGCGGGGGGAGGTTGATCCGGACGAGGACGACAAGTACTCCTCGAACTTCTGCTGGTCGAACTCGTATTCAACCTCCTCCACGACCGGGATTGAGATCCGCGGCTGCGACGCTCCGATCTCGACAGCGAGATCGGCGGCTCCCACTGTGGTCGCCAGATTGTTCGCGGGAAAAATCGTGTCTTTCTTCACTGATTCCATTGCTATCTTGAATAACTGTTTTTTTTTTGTTACAAAGATCCGGTCTTTTTATAAGATCCGGTTACAATGAAAATCAAATAAAAGAAAAAAAAGATTACAACTTTTTATCCTTGTTTGTCGAACAAATCACGAGCTCCTGTTTTGCGGTCGCTCGTTTTGTGGGTTGTTTGCCTGCGCCGGGGTTTATCCGTGGACCACCGCGAGATCTAGATCCGGTCGGATCTACGCAGTATGACGGGTATTATTTCGCCAAGGAAATAATAGCCGAGGGTACTATTTCGCCAAGGAAATAGTAGCCTTTAGTTCTCGGGATCAAAGGCCAAGCTTTGATCCGGAGGATGACTACGTAGATCTGAGATCCGATTTGAGATCTGGTTCCTCTCGAACTCTTGCCTTATTTGGCGTTGACGATCGCCGAGCACCGGATCTGGATGAGCAAGTCCTCGAAGTCCCAAAGCTTGGATCTTTTTTTAAGTTCTGAGCCTTGAATCCAGCAGAGCTTCGCCTCCAAAAAATCCAACCTTTGACAAATGAGCCTAGGCCTCCTATTTACAGGCTCTCTAAACTGTGCCCGCGCACAGATCTGGGCCGGCCACCTATAGGTGGCCGGCTCTTGGCCGAGCCACCTATAGGTGGCTCGGCCACCGAGCCACCTAGAGGTGGCTCGGTTTTGGCCGAGTCCCCTAGGTGTTGTGGTTTTTACCATTTTGTCCGGTCTCGTGGTTGATTCGGACTCTGATTTGTTGATCTGATTTGGCAGTAAATCTGATTCCTGATTTGGCAGTAAATCCACTTCTGAGTTCGAATCCGAAACTGATCTTGATTCGATCGTGATTCGTCCGAGTCTGCCCTTTGATGGATGACTCGTTGACTCTTCAACCCGTTAGCTTGATTCCGCACGCGAGTGGATTTATTCTGTTGTTTGCGTGCGGTTCATTAGCTTCGTAGCCTCGTTAATCCGCTTCGTCGTGTATCGCTTGGCTTCGGAGTTGTGGACTAACAATCGTGTCTGCATATGTCGCCCGATGGTCGGTTCGTCGAATCGGCGTTGTCGAGCTGTGTTAAGGGACCTATAGGCAGTTTTATACGCCTACAGTGGGTCTTTAGCCTGTGACGGGGATATCGGTATCCGTGGACTACCTGGCAATCAGATCGGGTCCAGAGCTTCGTCGATCCGCGAGGAGATCTAGAAACAGAAGCGCTTATCTCGACAAAAGCAAGATAATTGCTCTTCTTAGAATTACCACAACGGGATAATACTAAGGATTGGATGCGGGTGATGTAGATCTGACGACTTTCGATCTCTTGTGTTGAAGAACTCGATCACTCTTCAGTTCGACAGGGCTTCGCCAATTCTCCAAAATTCCAGATCCAAAAAATGAGGGCCTGAGGCTTGTATTTATAGGCCCGGGGGAGTTTGGAGCGGTTAAAACCACCTAAAGGCCCAAATCTACGTTGGAGACACCCCAGGGTGTCTCCATTTGATCCGAGACACCCTAGGGTGTCTCGGTTTGGGCCGAGACACCCTTGGGTGTCTCGTTGGTCCGAGACACTCCATTATGGTGTATATGTCCGCTTCCGCTATAAATTCTTCGTCTGAACTCGGATTTGAGTGATTCGACGTGCGTTGGAAAGCCGACACGGAGTTCTATCAGCTCCGATGGTTGGATCATCTGTAGAGTGAATGAGACACGAAGGGCATTGTTTCTTTTGTAAACATCGCGGGGCTCCCGATTAGCCCGTACCTTCGTTATTCCGAAATTTTGTTAGTTCACGTAGTTCGTCGATTCACTTCAATCGTTCACTGACACCAATCGAACTCCTGTGAACCGGATAGTGACGTTTATCGTCGTTCCTTAACACTGAGCTGTTTGTGGAGACCTATAGGCAATTTTCGAGGCCTACATGCTCCACTACCCAAGCTTCCCGGACAAAGTGTTCCTGCAGATCATATGGTTAAAAAGATACGGGCTATCCAACAAGAAGTAAAGGAGAAGATAGAGTAGTCTAATGCTAAATATAATGCTGATGTTGATCGACACAGGAGGAAGAAGGTGTTTGAAGAGGGAGACATTGTGATGGTGTTTCTGCGAAAAAAATGTTTTCTTGTGGGCACCTACAACAAGCTGAAGAATAAGAAGTATGGTCCATGCAAAATACTGAAAAAGATTAGCGACAATGCTTATGTGGTTGACCTTCCTACAGATTTGGATATCTCTCCTAGTTTCAATGTTGCAGATTTGTTTGAGTACTACCTACCAGAAGAAACCGATGTTCATGTAAGTGTAAGCTCGGGGTCGAGCTCTTTTCAAGAAGGGGGGCTGATGTAGAACACACGACAGACATGTTTATGCCAAAGTGGGACAGTCGCAAGCTCAAACGCGGGCCCGATCGACGAAAATAACTTGCTACAAAGAAACCACCTTAACTTTCAAACCGTATGTCGGAATTGGACGAATTATATATAAAAATCGACTATCTCGACAAGACAGAACCAACCAAACCACCCAAAAGGTTCGATTTGCTTCCTCCGTTTCGCCAAATTCCTTACGATTTTTAAAATATCTGTATTTTTATTCGATTTTTTTATTTTTTGTAATATTTTAGGAGTCTGTATTGATTAGAAAACAAATTTGATTTGATCTCAAATTTTACCGGTGGACTTTCCTAGTCATAAGTAGTCTTTTTAGGAGTTTTAATGTTTTAAAAATTCTTTTATTATTTTTGGTAAAATTTAAGTCTTTATAGGAGTTTGAGTACTTGTAAAAGTCTTGTTTCTTTTTCTATTTTAAGCAGGAGTCTGGTAAACCTTAAAGATAACTTTTAATTAATAAAATTTTGTTTTCTTCAATATTTACTTCGTGGATTCGAAAATTGTCTTTGGTGAATTCCGAGGCTACTACTTCCGCGCTACGTCAATTTAAGTCCAAACAGTTAAAAGTAAATACTGGAGGTAGTAGGAGATAGGTCAGACACTAATATTATTTAACCCAATTGACTAAGTTGCGGATCAAAAACTAAAATACATTAAGCAATTTGACAGAGCTCCAAGTAAAACATCTAGAGATTCCAACATACTTTTTACAAGCACAACCACATTTTCCCTTTCCAGAAGTACGGGAAATACCATCATCTTCAACAAGAAAATGAATTTAACCTCTGAAAATATCTAAAAGTACGAGACTACTGTAAACACATCTTCATTTTAACAAAATCACAAACCACAAACCAAAACATCACATACTTTCTAAAACATGCTCATGAGACTTACTTTCGAAAAGGGCGCTTGTTATTATTATTTTTACCTCTTTGATAGGTAAAAGTAGACCCCGCTGCGTTCCTTCTCAAGCCCTCGTACGACCATGAAGTATTGGGGGTGCTCTTATTAGGGGTCCATTCGTCCCAGCCATCCTTCTTGTTCTGCAATTGTGCCCTTTTATCATTCAGGACCTGTTTGATTTGGTCCCAGGTAGACCCGTTTGCATTTCCACTGTCTACACATGACAAAAGAAAACTAACAGTAAGGCTTATGATTTATTGCATGGCACCAACACTACCACCTATCATCTTAGGGTAAATTTCATAAAACCCACTGAACTTTGGGAGGTTTTACACAAAAACCACGAGAACTTTATAAATCATAGAAACCTGATTCACTTTCAAAATTATACTAAACTTCCTTGAACTATTGGAGATTATCAGAAACAACTTTAGCAGGTCGAGCAAAAAGTTTAAACTTTTTTTTTAACTTTTTGCCTATCCTTACCTGAAAAGGATAATATTGAGTTACATGAGTACTCTAGTAAATGGGGACAAAATTGTTCAAAAGTTCAGGCAAAATGCTTAACTAAAGTTAGGTGTCCAAAAAGCCCACGTCCCGGGCCAGGGCTGGAACCTAGGCCTGGCCCCGAAATAGCCCAGCAAACCGAGCCGGAGGCCGGGTTGATTCGCCGGTACCCGGCCCGGCCCGAGATGTGGGGCCTAGGTGCATATAATATCCATATTTCAAAAATATAGTTAAAATTGGTGATTTTGAGGTTCAAACCATGGCCATCTCTATGAGAAATTTAAAGCTTACCAAATAGCCAAGCTAATTTTGTGTTATATTTGATGTGGTTTTGTTATTATTGCGCAGACGCATGCGCGCACACAGACACACGCACATATATATAATTTAAGCATCTAAAAATACACATACAACTCTCTCTCTCTCTCTTGCAAGTATGCTTATACGCGCACGCACACACACTTGTATATACTTATTACTAATTGTATAAAAGTCAAACCCTTTATATAGAGGTAGAATAAACTTAAGTGGGTAAGAGCTCTTGTCCAACAATTTATTATTAATTGATTTTATTTTGAGATGCATGTACACATCAAGGCTATCTTTTAGATGTGTACCTTGATGTATCACATGCTAGCACGAATCTCCCCCTCCCGCCACGCACACACGCGCACAGTCTCACCCCCACCCATATGTGTGTATACATAAATATGTGTATATATGCATATATCTGTACATATATATGTACGTATCTGTGAGGGGATGGGTGACTGGGTGCATCCGTCTGTACACACAAAAAAAACAAATATACATATATGCATAAATATATGTCTGTAATATGTGTGCATGTGCGTGTGCGCGCGCGCATGCATGGGTGTGTGTGCGGATGCAAGTGTGCACATATATACATCGCATTTGTGTCTATATATATATATATATATAGTAAGACTCTTATCAACTTAAGTTTATGTCCACCAAACTTTCTAGCCACTCATTTATTAATATAAAAAACCTTTTCATATCATGCAAGGATCCCTAGGCAATATGAGTGGCTAAAAAGTTTGGTGGACAACCTTTTGTATATATATATATACACATAAACTATGTAATACATACATATAAATAAGTATATTTATATATTTTTACATACTTATAAGTGTATACTTTAAGTACATACATATAAGTGTATATGTATATATATTTATGGCTATATACATAGAGTGTATAAGTATATAAGTATACTACTTATAAGTCAAATCTTTTTTGTAAAAGTTCTTCATGATTTAAAAAAATTATAACAATTAAAAAAAATTAATCCAAAAAGTTACAAAAATCTAATTTATATTAATTTTTTGTTAAAAAACACAGTTTTTGATCAAAAATAAAATAAAAATAAAAATAATAACAACAAGGCTTGCCCGGTACCCGGCCCGGAACGGGCCAGTCTGTTTAGACACCCTTAACTAAAGTAACTGTTGTAAGTCATGATACTAGGGTGAGACGTTTTGCCGAGGCCGGGTTTTTTCAATGATTTATGGATGTGGAGCAAATGGGCGGCTTATTGTGTGTTTTGTTGGCTTTTTCTTTCTTTTTCTTTTTTTTTTTTTTTTTTTTTGGGGGGGGGGGGGGGGGGGCCTCTTATGCAAAACCCCCAAAATTCACAGGGCTTGTGAAATTACCAACCATTGCAACTTGGATTGAATGCATACCTGTGGGTTGCACAACGGAACCTTTTGCATTACTGTTGACAGCCAATAGATCCCAGTTATTGACATGTTCCTGGCTGCTCATTTCTCTTCCGGAATTATCCAGCTTGGTCTTGGCAACTGCTAGTTCCCAGTTGTTTGCATGAGCTGCTTGTTGAGTGTTCACTTCTCTTCCAGAATAATCTGAAGTTGTTGCTTCAGAATCACTGGCTTTGAGTAAACGCACATCAACAAGTGACGGATAGTGAATCTGGAACATTCAGGCTATCATTAGTTCACCGATGAAGCTATCATTAGTTCATCGATGAGGCACAACAGAAACTGCTTTAAACATTTCTTTACCTGTAAAGAGCCATCTTCTTTGTAAGGTGAGAAATTTGCTTGAGAGTGAATAGGGTGTTCAGGTACAGGGACCAGGATAATACTCAAAGATATGTAGTTATATGAAGTAACTAGACCTACCTACAATCATAGACAGAAGTCAGAAGGGCATCATAGTAGTTGTGCTTTCTCATTACCCACACGATGAGGAGTTAAATTGCCAGCATTATTTTTCCCCCCTCTCAACTCTACAAACTTAGCAACTTGCTATCACATATAAACTATGCGTATTTTTTTAAGTAATGGGTAATAAGATGCTCAGATGGGGAACTCAATAGACCAGATAAATATCATACTCTAAAAGAAGAAACCTCGGGGCACCATGAGGATGACATCTCAATTAACCGATACGCAAGCACATCGCCGACCTACAAGAATAAATCTGTTAAATAGTTCCTCCAATTTTAATGATGAAATAAATGATGGGAATTCTTTTTCAAGAATTGTCATATTAGCATTTCTTCTCTAGTTAGTAGTGTAACTATAAGCAGTACTATAACACAATTACCCACATAAAAGAGACTGGAAAAAGAAAGAAAATAGGTTTTGGGAAAAAGATGCATATTGTTATTTGAGAACAAAAAGTGATTAGCTTCCAAGATTTGGTCATTATTCTTTTGCTTTTCGGCAGTACAGCTGTCATTGTATTTCCTTAAAGCTTTAAATTCCCCTATGCTAATTTCAACCAATATTTGACAGTGAAAAAAAGGGCTCTTGCACCAGCAAACCAACCTGAGGAATGCGAGTTAAAGGGAAAAGGCTTTCAAAATTTATCAGACAACTGTTGTTCATCCCTTTTTCAGATAAAGCCTTCTTGTTAGACTGTTCACCATTAGCATCACTCCAGTTGCTAGTCTGTACATTACACTGTTCTGTACAACGATTAGCATTACTCCATTTGCTCACAAACTTCTCTTTTTTGTTAGCATGTTCTGTATAACCATTATTCCATTTGATAGTGGTGTCATCCCAAGTGCATTTCTCTCTTTTGTAACCATTAGGACCATTCCATTTGCTCCCGGTCCTTTCGCTAGCCCATTTTTGTCCCCTATGACCATTATCATCATTCCATTTGCTCATATTCTTTTCCCTAGCCCATTTTTGTCCCCTATAACCACTATCATCATTCCATTTGCCCAGAGTCTTTTCCCTAGCCCATTTTTGGCCCCTATAACCATTATCCTCATTCCCTTTGCTCATAGTCTTGTCTTTCCAAGCAGGCTGCCCCTTATAACCGTTAGCACCATTCCAGTTTCCGCCCATTTTCTCCTGACTCCAGTTTTGTCCCTTCTTCATGCTGGTTGTCCCATTCCATTGACGAGTTTCCTGGAGCAGAAACTTAAAAGATCAGTTAGCAGTGTATGAAGAGTTAAGGATATTGATTGTTACTATACTTAAACATACAGTTCAACTACACAGCAGAGATTAGATAAAAAGGACCTTATACGAGAATATGATATAGAAAATGAGTTATTTTATAATTGAAGCAACAGATGTCCGACACATGCATATAAATTAGCAAACCTCTACTTTGCAATCAGAACATTATATGACATTTGGTTTCAACAATACAGGTAATTTTATCTAATATCCTTACATATCATTATTAGTAGAATGCAGTTATGATGCTATTATCTGTTAACCAGGTTTTCTATGATTTGTTGGATATTGTACTCTGACATGAACACAGAGTGCCTGGTACCACATGCACACTCTGACGTCGACATTATGTGGACATAGCAACATTCCAAAACAAGGACAGAAAAACAAAATTGCATGTACTTCACGACTTCACTTATATAATAGAGAAGAAATTAAAATAGTAAAATGACCTACAAAAATTTCTTTGCGTACAAAATGAACCCTATCATATTTCATTTATACATGTCACACACAATGCGTATGTGTGACCCAAAACTGTCGAAAGTATGAAAACTGGACAAGATAGGCAGTCTTTCTGGATATTGCAGCAAAAAACTAATGCAGCAATTCAGAAGTACTAGCCAATTTTATGAATCCTGAGCTCAGACCGTATACAGGTCAATCTGTGGAGTAACATGTTAAGCCGTAGTGCAGCCTACAATTGTTAATTCTGAATAAGAAAAACTGGAACACATTGTAGAAGACGAAATAAGAGGGAGGCATGAGAGAGTGATGTACAGACACAAACATGAAACCACAAACGTAGGAAAATATGTAAAACCAAAAAAACCCAAGACGAGGATACTTAGTGGATATGCCACTAAAATAGTTTCATATGCAAATATACACACACATTTATGCAAACACACACACACACAAAAGGACATATATGGTATCCTGGGTATGAGATGACAGCTTATTTAGGAAAATCTGCTACCACCTCATAACCATTTCTCTATGCACAAACATCATGTGCATGGACGTGCATGCAATTTGGAAAGCATCTAAATTTGATAGTAAGGAAATAGTTGAAGAAATAGTTGAAGTACCTAAACAGAAAAAATCAAGTATTCCGAGTATTTTCGCCTCTAAAGAGTGGAGATAAAATGGACGCTATAAACATTGAGTTGCTTAATGGTCTATAAGGTTTTAGGCGTAACAAAAATTAACATGTAAGAATGTTTGAAGTGGTTAATATGCCCAAACACATTGATCTTACCGGCATACTAGGTAAAAGAAAATACCCAAAATACCCAAAATTTAAAAAAAAATTCCATAGGTATTTGCACTGACTAATGAATAGTAATTATTAACACTTCAAATTTCAGTATTGAGCTTAGTTTGGTTCATTTTTGTTAGTATGAGAATCGGCACTTCAGCAGTTTCCGAACAGAAGTATCATTATATAGAACAAAGTCAATTTCAATTGAAAGATTTCTGTTCATGGATTACCTTTTCTAATTTCTCTGAATACAGCTTTGTCAAGTTTTTGATATTTCGAATCTCAGATCCTCCCCAGTATTGGCCACTATTAGCTACTACAGCAATATATGCTGGCTTCATCTCAACCAGATCGGCATAATTATGTCCGATATGGTACAATAAGTACATATCAGGATCTTCCAACTTTTCAAAACCTTGTTAACTGTACAGCACATTATGTGATAAGTGAGATGATAGAGGAACATATTGCTTGGCTTGTTGTAGCAAAGTTATATGTTCCTTTGGTTTTCTCCCACAATTATAATGCTGAAGAATGCTGGTTATTTTACAAAATTGCAGCCTCCCAAGTCAAATGGTAGTCAATGATGCCAACTGATGTAGCAACAAGACAAAAAAGTAAAGAAAGATCTATTGTCACACCATGTGCTCCCCACTGTGTGGAACTAATGCTAATTAAATAGCAAGGAGCCTCATACAAGCTTAACCGTATATTCGCCACTTCTATACTTGAAAGATGAAAAACCAAGTTCAAGGAAGCCAAATTTGAGGAAGACTTGGTTCAATCTGCTGTGCCCCAAAAGAAATGCATGAGAAAATAGACTGCATTACACCAGATATAATTTAGAATTACAGCAATCTTATTTTTCATAATCATGGTGCCTACTATTATTTTGTGCACCTTCTACGTGGTACTGCCATTGTTCAATGACGATTTGATTTGGTTAACATACTTCTCAAAATAACAGAATAACCCAAAATCAGATTTAACTACTGTTTATGGGTTTTTCATGCCAACTATTCTGGGTTTCTTCACCCGTATCATTCCACAATTCTGGATTTAACTACGGGTTTGCATAGATTTTACACTAAGACAGGGAGACTTACCATCCTTTTCTGTGGTTGCCATTGGCTCTGCTCTTCATCTATCAAAAAATAATGCAGCGACAATGTTAAAGCATGCATGAAGAACATTTTCAATTGAAACTTTATGTTACAGACATTTATAAACCACACATCAAATTCTAGGAACATGAAAGGTTAAAACTTTTTTTTTAACTTTGCATGAAAGGTTAAAAAAACTTAGCATCTAGAAACAGAACAGACAGGATCAGAATTTTACATCCAGACGGGCATATGCACGCTCCCAGCCTCACGCACATGCGCATGCGTGCACATACAAGCGCGCACGCACGCACACATGCCCATACACAAGCATGCGCACACAAGCACACGCACGCACGTGTGCACAGACAAATAGGGGTGTGCGTGCAAGCGTGGGTGCGTGCGTGCGATACATAAGAACAGAACTTTTTACTGCATGCAAATCAGAGTGAATAATAAACAAGTTTATCACTAGAAATAAGCAAGCGCTATTTCATACATAAGTTGTTGAAACTCATAAGTGCATATATCAATAATCATTCTCATTTGAATACCTCATGCGCATGATGTTAGATTCCTTTTTCCCCTTTCAATAAGCATGAAAACTGAAGAGTGAATTCATTTTTCCTCTTGAAGACTGCATCCTATACCTCACTATCATCAACTAAACCATCCCCTTCACCAGCTGAAGATATTAGGGTTTGATGAAAAAGTTCAGAAAATCTTAAGAGCGATCTAACGACCCTCTAGACTGGTAACATGTTCCACACTGAATAAGATGCCAGACCAGGAAGCTCGCTAAAATTCTAGAAGGCAAATTCGACTTGATGTATCTAGGATTCTCTTTCCACATAAAGCCTAGTTCTTCATGCGGAATTCATTCTGGAGTTAAATACAAAAATAAAAAAGAAAGAAGAAAACCTTACCAGCAATGCACTCTCTGGAATATATGTATGTTGTACATGATTTACAAATCCCAATGATTTACAAAACCCAAGAGATCACATGTATACAAAGCTCACATATATACAAAGGAATAAACTGCAACTGAGGGTCATGTGAATTGGATAACGAAAATTCCATAATAATATAAGAATTACAGCATCATCAGCAACCTTCAATATGAGACATGTTAGTGATGAAAGAACTTGAGGAGAATGTGATGTTGTCTAAAAGTTACCTAAAGGAAGAAAACGAATATGACCTGGTCGAATTGCAACAGGAACAATATCTTTCTCAAGTTCAATGATCTGTTCTCCCTCTTGCTGCTCAGTCGATTCACCACAAGTGACATTTGCTGAAATCTGTTTTTCACTATTCTGTAATTTTTAGATAGGCAATTGAGTTAGTACTATTAATTGAATTCAACTACGAGAAAAAAACATGATATTAGCAGAAACCATCATACTTGAACATCTGTAGGCTTTAATTCCTTGATCCATTGTCTCCTGTCTTTTTTACGACGAGCATTTCTGGACTGAGCCTGCTGCAGAAAATTTTTCTTAAACAATGTTACCTACAACTTAACTAAAAAGGTAGTTATGAAAGCAGAAAATAAATGTACAGGGAAAAAACAAATAAGTCATTCGCTCATACTTGGAAAAGATTAACAAAAGTAAAACATGAAACTAATAAGCACGGTCAGTACAGATATCTCAACAAGAAAGAGAGTGTGTGTGAGGAAAAGGGGTATCCCTGGTAACATGTATGATTGGTTTCCTTGGTACCAACCAGTATCTCCCTGCCTCTGTCCCTCT